ACGAACTATTTTCAAGATACATGTACATTTTTGCATTGGGGAGGTGTTAATTTACATGTATATATTAACAGGTTTTGCCCTTACGCAACATACATGTATATATTAATAAACACTGTATGCTCAGTGCTTGTCCGAGAGCTTGCGAAACAATTCACAAGCTCACTCGGGTTTGTCCATTTTTATACCTTGTTCAAAACTGATGTATTCAGGAACAGAAACACAGCCTTTCTCTCTGACACTGGTGACAATTATTCTCCGGTTTCCATTCTTAAGCAGTACATGTCCCGATGTAACATTGTATTGGGCAAGACACATTTTCACTGCACTGTCCTACAATGTACCATTGTAGTATCCATGATTACAAACCACTAATTAATAAGCCACTCAGCTACAGTATATGAGATGTAGAGAAATTTTTCCAGAAGCACTTGGAAAATAGGTATAAGTAATCCCAAACCTATGGTTTGCACAGTATGACATCAGGAGATGCCCTGACAAATAAAGGCTTTTCTGTAAAATTGCAACATGGGAGATGGAACACAGATACATGTACATCAAAAAAGAAACCGATCTGAAGTTGGCTCTTTCTGATCCATCTTTTATGTTCATAATGTGAGATTGTAAAGAAAAAGAAGAATTATTAAGAATGGACTTCTGAATGTATTAATATACATGTAGGCTACTGCTACAGGAATATGATGATATTAGTGCCTAGTAAAGGTATGTGTATGTCAGCACAGGAAAAGAATTTATCTGTGAACATTACTAGAATTGATAAAGAGTGGATAAAATGTGTACTGTACATTGTGAAGAGTGCAAATGGACAGGCCGAGATAAAGGAATTACTGCCTTAGCAATGTGATGAATGTTATTACTATTGTGCCTGATATGTCAGCACAAGAGAGAAATAAAACATCAAATATTATTAGAATTGGTGAAGAGTTAATGGGAAGTACATGTACAAAGTACTAACAATATTGTATGTGTTCTCATAATGGAGAAATGGAGATTTCAGGAGAAAGCCAAAGGGTCTTGATGGGCGAGATTAAAAAAAAAACAGAGAGAGAGAACTTTCCGAGAGATACATTGTAACCGAAAGGCTTGAAGAGCCAGGAATCAATTTCGAATCAGATGCTCGGATGGAATGTAATATGGGCAACTCACAACAGCGCGGCTCCAAGAGTTTGTAACGCATTGGCCAATCACAATGTGGGAAATCTGTCAACCCTTCCAAAACGCACATTGGCTCCGCTTTATGTGGGGAAACGATTAACATGCATTATGAATTTGCTTAATTGTTCACTAATTGGACCAATAGAGGGCGCTTGTCTACTTACTGTTATTTAAAGTCAATTGCCAAAGGGTAGCCAGCTGCATATGCAAATTAATCTAAAAATAAAACTGTATCGATGCAGCGGAAAGATATGTCTGCAACAACTTAGATTTTTGGCTGGTAGAGACGAGTTAAAAAGAAAAAGTAGTTTTTGGAAGGGGAGAAAGAGTGGGTGGTTCATAATGGCATCTTGTCAACCCTAAGCCACACCGGTTGGTCATGTTGGTGCAGCATTGGTTGCTTCCTCCCCTGCAACTGTGGAAATCATTATCAGTGTGATTTGAATGAAATCTAAATGACAATAAATCAGCAAATCTGAAGCTACTGGACACCTGCTTCTCTGGTGTATTCCTCTCATGTTTTATTCGTCACTAGTCAGACCATGGTCAGACCCAGTCATCATGTCTGGCATGTTGACTATGTCAAGCTGAGCACCCAGCAACAAAATCCTGCGCATACTGCTACATTTGACAGATTGAGCACACTGTGATTGGCCAACACGTTTCAAACTCTAGGAAGCGCTATTGTGAAAACGCCCGTACTGACATGACTGATACATGTACTTTTTTGTCTAAAAAACACATTTAATCTAGCTAGGACTGACATGACTGAGTGATTGAAAAAGTGCATTTGTAATCACTCTTTATGCATAGTTCTTCCTACTCTCAGCGGCATAAACACCAGCCTTTCCAAATGAAATAGGCCAACGTTTGTCATGTTACCCGATACATGTATGTATTTGCGCTGTCCATTAAAACGAAACTGCTTTTCATGATGCAGGCCTAATGCATGTAAGGGACTACGTCAGTACGTGTATGAGCGCAGCAAAGAAGCATCAAAGTCTTATTTTTACAATTTTAGTTAGCATGGTTAGGCCCTGTAACAGCAACAACCCCCCCCCGGCAGTGCACAACATTCAAACAGTTGTTTCTCTTTGAAACTTAAATAAATGGGCTAGGCCTACTTACCGAGGTTCAAATATTCTTCGTGCAGTGGAACGGCTAAAAGAGCAGCTGAACTAGTAAAGATCAAAGATCGTATAGCGCTAGCGCCGCCTAGCGGCGCAAGATGGGGAACTTCACCGTGAATACGCGTAAACCGTTGTTATCACATAGGCGCCATTCTGGTTGGACTACGCCTGCGCAGTGCATGTTAATACGCAGGCGCAGGCGCCCCGACAGGAACGCACACACACACACACATCAACTTTCACAATCGAATGGCGCTCATGGTGATAACACCTTAATGGCCAAATTACCCATCTTGCGCCGCTATATAATCTTTGGTAAAGATTACAGTGTACATGTATACATGTACATTATGTGCAGTATATTTCACGCTGGCACTAGACGACGTGCACTAGACTGGGCGAGCTAGCTACACTTGACCAGGCTGAAATTGGCACGAAATCAGCCAGAAATTCTACGGAGGCCGATCACGGCATAGCAGGCTTGGCCCATTGATCTCCATTATGTAATGGAGATCAATGCTTGCCCCAGACTGGGGACCAGTCTACTGGAATCCCTCCCACTGATCTCTATAATAACATTTTATTACAGAGATCAGAGCTCCCTCCTAGTTACAAAATGCACATGTTATGGATCGGACATCGCGCATTGTTTGTGCACAAAATGCACGGCCGAACAATGGCGGTGCTTCAGGAAGGTAAAGTGCACCGACGTGTATAATAAAATCTGGACTCGCAATGCCCTTAATCAGCTTATAGGGGTGCACTGAACCAATTCAAGCTCCATTGAAAATAGTGTAAAATCACCAAGTTTGGAGCCCCATGGCAGGCAACTGGAGTCCCTGAGGCCTCTCAAACAAAAAACAATGTGTTGTTTGGCCCTTCAGATTTCATTTGATTTTCAATTTTTAGTAGGTTAACCAATGAATTTTTGAATTATCCGCCGAAAACAAACTGGCCCACCAAAAAGTGAATGCTGCCAAGCCCTCCCAG